TGGTTGCATTGCCTGGTGGACATTAGTCATCGGTGCGTCCCTCTTTGTGATCTGAGCCAGGGTTCTGTTTCCTATTGACTATATATACTTTGGTGTCTCGTGTCCTTTGCACCATCTTTGTCATATCTTGACGGTTCCTCGTTAATGAGTCAAATGGATCGTGCACAGGTGTTCACCGTGTACTTGTATTTCAGTTGTTTTTAACTGTGAAAACTAGGCCTTGGCAGAGCAGCTAATAAGAGGGCAGGGGCCTTTGATGACTCAGCTGGATGGCTGACCCTTAGAACAGACTGTGACAGCCCCAGGTGGAGAAGGACAGAGGGCGAATGAAAGAGGAAAGGAGAGAAGCCCTGGAGAACATATCCTGTTTCTGGGGAATTTGCTGGTGAGCAGGGAACTCAACACCCACACGGAGAAGGATGAAAAAGCAGTTGGAGAGACTTAGCTCCAGATGTGGAGCTCCTTCACAGAAGGACAGCTGTGGTGGCTGGTGTTTCTCCCCCGACAGCCCCCTCTAGTGCCATCTTCACAAGACTGAAGCACAGGCACCAAGTCAGCTGGGTCAGGGGACCCTGGGGTTCGGCTCTGAGTGGCAGAGGCTGCTGGTGCTCCCCAAGATCTGTCCTGCCTCCTTTATTTAGGGCGCATTGCTAAGTGCTTGACTTGGTCTCCTGTGTGACTGGTACTAGCCCCACGGCCGAGTTCTACATGGTAGAATTTGAGTGGAGGGATGTGAGCTGTCTCCAGCATGGTCCAGAAGAACCTCCCAAGAGCAATTCTTGCTCCTTCTTTCCCCCATCCCAGGTGCTGGAAGAAAAGGAAGGGCTCTGGGGAGCTGGAGGAGGGTGCAGCCATGAGGGCTTGGTCTCTGGAGTGTAATGCAGCTTCTCCACTGAGCTACGCTGCAAGTGCATTTTTATTGGTTGAGGCTGTGGAGACTTGGGGCTGGTTTGATAGACAGTAAGCCTACATTGGTTGTTAGAGGGCTCAACTCAGGTCTCCCGCTTTCTAGAAGGCCTCCCTAACCCTTCCAGACCATGGTGCCCATAGAACTAACAGCACACACTGACTTCTTAAACCAGGTCTGAGTTACTATTTAACTGATCATGACCCAAACCGTGTTCCATAGAACAAGAGCTTTCAAGGTAGTGTTGCTAAGTATTTCACGGACAGGGAGTTCCACGGGGAAACATGAAGATGAATGGGTTTCATCTTTGTAGAAATGACTGGTCTCTACAAAACATCTTAAAATGGATCATAGAATACCACATTCCTTGGTTCGATTATGGGATTTCGTCATAGACTACAGTATGGGAAATACACATGAGACCCTTTTGCTGGTGTGTGTATATAATCTTGTGGCCTTATGAGGTTTTAGGCATGAGGAAAGGAAGAGGGAATTTACTTGGATCTGATGCTCTGTGCTCAAAGTGTGAACCCACTGAGATACGACCGTCCCTGAGACACAGTTCTTCCTACAGCAATCATGTGAAATGCTGAAGCCCGGAAAGAGACATGAGAAAGCTTAGGAGGGCAGGGGAGAGGAGCTAAGCCTCCCAAGATGGGTTGAGGTTTTCCATCAGGGAAAGAACAAGGGAAAGCATCTAGGGGGGAAGGCCCAGCACGGCCACTTTTGGAAACTGAAATTAAATGAGACCGGGATTTGCCCACACCACGTTTACAGAAGCTGTGCCAAGGCAGGCACGAAGGTGCATGCCTATCATCCCAGCAAACTCAGGAGGCTGAGGCAGGAGGATCGCAAGTTTCGAATGCAGCCTCAGTAACTTAGTAAGACCCTAAGCAACTTAGCAAGACCCTGTCTCAAAATAAAAAATAAAAAGGGCTGAGGATGTGGCTCAGTGGTGAAGTACCCCTGGGTTCAATCCACTGCGGCACCAAAAAAACAGAGGCTGTCCCAGTTCCTTCTGGTATCACTCTGACACACCTTCACCGTCTGCCTCACACCTGGAAGCCTCTGGAGGGCAGGGGTCATGTCTATTTGTCACTCCAACCTCCTTTCATTCACCTGGCCTGGAACACAGTTCACATCCACCAGAGGCCCCGCGGCCCTCTCCACCTGAGACTTCTCATCAGAAGATGAAGAGCAGAACCGTCCCAGGCTGGTGACCAACATTTAGATTTAAAGACACATGCATCGTGCCCGGCTCGCAGCCTGTGCTCGGGAAATGTTAGCTGTTCACATCATTAGCTTAATGAATGTTTGTGGAAGGAAGAAGGGAAGGAGGGGAGGACAGAGGCCTACGGCAGAGCAGGAGGCGCAGGGGGAAGAACAGCCACCCCGTCTCACTTTCCCACTTAGCCAAAGCCCAAAGGCAGATGTCTCTCTTTCGGTGACAACCTTTCCTTCCCCTCATTTCTCACAGTGGCTATTTTGGAGGCCCTGATGTGAGATACTGGGTCAAAAATTAAGGCCCCTTGCCAAAGGCAGGGGTCAGGAAAGGAGGGATCAGACTGTCTGCAAGGGCACAGAGCAGAACAGAGGGTCCCTGGGAGAACAGCCCCTGCTCGCCGCCGGCTGGTGTGGGCTCAGGTTCTCACGCTGAGGCCAGGCCTGGGGGCCTGGGGGGCTGCGGAGAGGCGCCCTGGAGGGTTTGCTCTGTGCTTGGCTCCGGCTCCCAGAACCTGATGAGAAATCCAAGGAACAGCGAGAGCCTGGCGCCTCCTCTTCGGGGGACTGTGTACCTGATAAGTCGTATTTTTACGATAAAATTCATGACACTGAAAGGCCAGGGAGCCAGAGGTGGGGCTTGGGTTGGCGGAGAAGAAAGCATTCCAGAGCATTAAGGCCAATCCTCCGAGAGGACATGAAGACTCGGGGAAGGACATGTCCCTCTCTCTGGACTGGCTTCCTCTCCTCCTGCCTCAAATGACCAGGGAGAAAGGCCAGCAAGAAGACTACAGGGACACAGGAGGACAGACACAGAAACCCTGGGAGGAGAGGGATACTGATGGCTGGCTTCCAGCGGGACGGATCCCTTCCTGAGAGGAGACCTTGGAGAGGCTGGGCTAACGGGACAGATGGCTGGAGTGCCACATTGGAGGCCCATCCAAGAGCGTATCGGAGCCTTGCCTGGGGTGACCTCTGCCACCCGGCTTCAGAGTGGTCTGCATCCTACATGGGAAGATGGATCCGGGACCTCCACGTCCCTTGATTCTTGGACAAACTATTTGAGTAGTATAGATTTGGAGACTGAAATACCATTTCTGCCCCCAGTTTAGGATAATTTAGTTTAACTTCACAATGAATATTTGAGGAAGCCCCTGGAAGTTCACGTGAAGATGAACAGGCAGGACCTTCACTACATGGATAAACAGGGAAGACTGGAAACTTCCTCAAGACTCACTGTTGGGTGCTGCTTAGCAAGAACTGCATTAGCAAATATATATACGTATATATATTCATATATACTTTTATTAATACATGCATATTAATTATGATAATCAATAAATTAGTTTATTATAGAAACCTATTTATCTAGTTATATGTAATATAATGTCATATATTAACATATTTATTAGTGCACTGCCATAATGCATAGGGATACAGGAAGCATACCCAAATATAAAGTTGATTATTTTAGGACAGCATAATAATAGATGATTTTTTTTTCTGTCTTGAAGTCTGGGGAATAGGAGCGAATTCTTCTTTGTTTTTGTTTGCAAGTACTTTCTCTTATTTAAACAAAAAATCACACACAGAATAGTAGGAAGAGAAAAATAGAAATAATTGAAATTATGGCTGATCTTCAAGTTCTCCCTCATGCTTTTCTGTATGTTCAATTCCACTACAGGGGGTTTGACTATTTGAATTAGAGCAAGCATCATCAGTTGTCCATATTTTAAAAGGTCAGACTGCCCCTAAAAAAGCCCCCCCACCTTTGTTCCTGTGAAGAGCTGGATTTCTGCCACCAGCCAGGCCTTTGTCCCCAGGTGCTGTGAGCGCTGGGCTCTGAGTCCAAGCAGCCCAAGCTTGGCGGGGACCCTGCAGAGAGCGTTTGCCCTTGGTCAGCCTCTACATGTCAGGGAGATGGAGGCCTCTGTGTTGCTTGCCGAGGAGTATCTTTGGGAAGAGCCAGCTTCACCCCAGCCGTCAGGACCCACAAGGTCCTGAGCAAAACACAGTCTCTGGATGGGAGGCAGATGCTCCTTGCACAGAGCCACGCCAAACTCTCCTGCACCTAAACAGCTTCTGAGTCCTTAAAGACCAGGGAGCTGTTTGTCTGGCAATGAATGGAGGGTGCTCAACAGGCTGGTGCCCTTCACGCCCAGGGAGGCCCTCAGAGCCCACCCTGAGCTGCAGCCAGGATTCTGCCCACAGAAGAGGGAACAAGAAGATTCCCCCCACCCCCGTCCTCTACTCAGAATGCTTTAAAGGAGCCATCCCTGCCCACAGGGCAGAGGCTCAGTCAAGTTCCTCATGCTGGTGCTTTAGCTCTTTGAAAATGTAACCACAGCCCCACTTTAGCTCCCATCCTCACCCGACACACTGACCAGCCAGTCCCCCACCCTTGCAGACCCTGGGCCTTCACATACACCCTCCTCCCCACCACCGAGCCTCCCCTTCCCTCATCTGACCAGCATCTGGGACTCGGCTTCTAAGGTCCAGGTCCAATGTCACCACTCCCCACCACCCTTTGCAGCTGGCAGAGTTGTTAGTACACTCTGCCCTTCCCAGGCACTTGATTTAAGCCTTCATAGAATGCACAAATGCAGAAATACAGATCATGCATGTGAACCTTTGTATATATAATAGACAGTTTCTGGACAGGGAGTCATATTTGCTCCAAGCATAACGGTGATAATGAAGATGACGTGAAGTCTAACAAGTCAGTCTTTGCTTCTGCAGCCCTGGTGTAAGTGGGAACTCAATAAATATTTGTGGCAGAAGTAAACAAACACACAGCTACAAGATGAGGATGTGGGAGGAGGGGGTCAATGAAAGACTCTCTCCCAGAGCATCCCAAGGGCCATGCACTCACCGGGTGGTCGGCATCCAGTTCGGCGCCATAGCTCAGAATCTGATTGGCAAACCTGTCAAGCTCTTGAATGGTCCTTGGGAACCAGGGCACTGCAACACAGAAAAGGCAAAGTCCTGAGTGCTGATCCGCAGGATGTGGCTGAGTCAGAAAGCACAGGCCTGGCCCCAGCCGGTCATATTGATGGTGTCAGCAAGAAGGTTTCCACACAACCCCTAAACTCCTGTAATTGAAAAGTTCATTATTTAATTTTCTTGGAAAATTAAATTTTGAAGTATATCCCAAACAGATTCTCTTTCCTGGGGATTTTCCTGAATTATCTCAAACTCTTCTCCTTCTCACCCATCCTATTAGTTGTCTTCTATGACTTTTTAGCATATTATATAGTCCCAAACTATAAATACCAGAACTGTTCTATTATAAACAAGGATGGTCTCATGAGACCCCATCTTCCTACTTGTGTCTCCCCAGATATGCTGGAAAAATATTTCTAATCCAAAAGCCAGTTTGAAAGTCAATATTGAAGCAGAGTGGGTGGGTCCCGGTAGTGTGGGATTTGGAGGCACCTTGCAGTATCTAAAAACCTTGTGGACTTGCTATTGTAGGGAGGAGACAGGGCCTGAGTCTTGTGGCTCACAAAACCCTGAACCATGGGGTTTTGCAGAGAGAGAGAGAGACCCCAGGGAAATAAGGAGGTGATATCATCCAAATCCCTGGGGCTTCCAGGAAAGCAGACACACTGGGAAGAAATTACCCCAGAAGTGAACAGAGACTAGGAATATTGGCACTGTAAGCTCCATAAGAGCAGGGACCAGGAGTATTTTGTAGTTCCAGGAAGAAAGAAGAGTGAAGGAACTGAAGAACTAGCTCTAGATATGTTAACACGAGGCACTGACAGCAGTAACCACCAGCCACAGTGTCTACTCTGGTCTAGTTGCTGTTTCTGGAGTGTCTCCAAAATGAGGAAGGCATTATGACCTCTACTGTACAGGTGACAAAGTAAGCCTCTGAAAGTCTAAATAGCTGGTTTAAGATCTCACAGTGTTGATCCAGAACATGTGCAGGGAGGAGAGGAGAAGAGCCAGGGCAACCCAGTGCTTAGATGAGCCTCGGGGGACACAGCTGAACTTGACCCCCTAGCTCTGGCTTGGAACCCAGGTTTCTTCTGCCTCCTTATCCTCTCTGTGTCTCCGTCTCTTCTCTGTAAAAGGGAATAATAATGATAAAAACAGAAGGAAGAGCAAATATTTTAAAAATCTTGCTGTGTGCCAGGCACTGTGCTCACTCGGTATTTTTGGTGGAGCATCTGTTTTAATCTGAGGTTTGACGCCAGGAGTAAATGAGAAAGTAGGCAGTGGGCACAGCCCAGGTCTGGCACAGGGAGGGTTTGAGTCCGACCTGCTCAGGAAGGGCAGAAAAGAGCATGTCTACCATCTAGTGGCCAATCTGGGGAGATGCTGTCCGTGAACAAGGACAAGATTGGACGACTTTCCAGCACACACCTGGATGGTGTTCAGGTGTTCATACCCTCAGCTTAGAGCCTCTTTTCTGTAGCTCGGATCTGCTTAAGCTCTTTATCAGCCATGTCAACAATAAAAACTAACACTGAGTTCTGTTCTCAATAACTCTTGGTAGCCCTCTATCACAGATACGAAAACAGAGGCAAGAGATGTCCTAAATTTAATTATGCAGGCGGGAGAAGGGAGAAGAGACGAGGGAGGTTAATTAGTAACAAGCTAATAGCTTTTACAGACAAAAAATAGCATTTTATATTTTTGAATGTGTGTTAAAAACCTTAACTTAAATTTATTGTGAACCCCTAGGTACCACGGCATCCTGCTTGCAGCCCCAAACCAATCCAGAGGCAATGGCTACCTCTCCTTGTGGACGTCCTCCTAGCCCAAAGCCTTCCCTGCTTCCTATAATCCCACCTCACTTTTCTATGGCCAATATAGGTTCAATGAAAACAGCTTGTGCCTTCCCCAGTCTTTCACTCTGGAGTTGTCTGGTTCATTAAGGTTGAGCAGATATTTTTCCAACTTCTGCCTCATTGTCCTGTTGCTGGCAGTAGAGGACAGGGACCAGTCCTTTCTGGCCTGGTCCTTATTCCAGGACTGGTCCTTTCTGGCCATCATCTACAATGGCTCAGTAAAAGGGCTTATTGAGCCCTTTTATTTCAGAGATCTCTGGGTTTCGGGAATTTGGGGTACGCACGGCTAGCTCAACCACACGCTGTGAGTAAGCAGTGGAGTCAGGGTGCAAATGCTGGCCCAGACAATTCTATCATCTTTGATCTTGACCACCAATCTATCCTGCCACTTTTGGCTCTGGAGCCCGACTGCCCGACTGGCTCTTTGTAGTTTCTGGAGATTTCCATGTCCCTCCATCCCAGCCCACTTCTGAGATCAACTCCCTAGGGGTGGTCAGGACAGAAGCCAAGCTTGTGCTGGTAATGGCAGTGGGCGCGTGTGTAGCATTGGCTCCGGACCAGGTGCTGTCCAACACATCAGTCTTCATGGTGCTGAGCAGCAGGAAGTACTGTTACCCCATCTTGCAGACAAGGAAACTGGGGAACAACAAGGGCAAGACCACTAATAGACCTCCTTGCTCCCAACAGCTGAGACTCCAAAGTCTCCGTGACTCAGCACCATGCTCTGCCCGCCTGGCATGGGACCTGGCCTCCCACCTCATCAGCTGACCTCCTCCCCAGCTCTTCTTTCTCCTTGAGTCCAGCATGGGGCTGTTTCCCAGCCAACTTCAGAAGAACTTGGGAAAGAACGGCCTCCTGTGGACAGGCAGGGCTCAGGATCTCCCATGGGACCTTTCTGGCTTCTCCAGAACACTGTCACCAAAGGGTTTAGTGAATGGCACCCACGTGGGCAAGGAGGCCTATCCCTCTGCCCTGCGTGAAGCCCCATTGATAACCCCAACTCCTCCATTCCACAGCCTCCTGTTACCATTCCTCCATCATCTCCTTTGCCTAAGAATCACCCACAGTTCCAGCAGCTGCCACCTGAGACAAGGTAAGTTAGGCCTTCTTGACTGGGGGACTCTGACATAAAGAAGATTCCACAAACGTGAAGTGAGCACCTACTATGTACCCGGCACTGGGCATGGTAGCCACCAGAGTGACTGTAACATTGGCTCCTTGTGGTGCTTACACCCCAGCCAGGGCACCATGAAATAAGTAAGGGATAAATGCAAATATTCACTAATGCCAGGAAGTTCTTGAAAAAGATGAACAGTGTGTGGATGATTACCACAATCATGTTAATGAACACACCCATCACTTCATGTGGCTACCATTTGTGTGTGTTTGTGTGTGTGTGTGTGTGTGTGTGTGAGTGCATGTGTGTGTTGACAATACTTAAGATAGCGCTTGGCAATTACATTGTAATTAACCATTGACACTATGCTGTACATTATACCCCCAGGACTTACTCACCTTATAACCAAAACTTTATACCCACTGATCAACATGTCCCCATTTCTCCCTCCTCCCAGCCCCCAGCAACCGCTATTTTACTATCTGGTTTTATGAATTTGACTTTTTTAGATTCCATATATAAGTGAAAATCCTGCACTATCTGTCTGTCCTTGTGGTAGGATTATTTCACTTAGTGTAATGCCCTCAAGATTCACTAATGTTGCAAGATCTTCTTCTTTATCATCCCACTGAGTAGTACTCCATTTTGCACTCACTGTCCTTATCCATTCATCTATCAGTGTAGACACTGAGGTTGTTTTCATACCCTGGCTTCCGGGAATAAGGCTACAGTGAGAGTGTGAATGCAGATGTCTCTCCAAGATTTTTCCCCCCAAAAGTAGAACAGCCAGACCGCATGTAGCTCCATTTTTAAGAGGAGCCACCATGCTCTTCTCCATTATGGCTGTATTAATTTACATTCCCACCAACAGTGTGCAAGGGATCCCTTTCCATCCCCCACTTAACCAATACTGCTTATCTCTTCTCTTCCTTACCTCAGTCAGGGGGTGCTATTTCAAAGAATATTATGTGCCTCCAGACCCCAGGGTGAAGATCCTGGCGGCATGACCATACCTCGCCAAATCTCAATGGGACCTGAGACAGTCAGAATGCGTCCCTAGTCCTGAGCGGGTTCTTATTTGTCTCGGGGAGAGTTGGAGTAAGAGCCCAACAGTACAGAGAGCCCCGACTTAAATCTTTTCTTTACACTTACTATCTGTGGGACAAGGACAAGTTATCAACCTCTTTGTGCCTTAGTTTTCTTGTCTGTAAAATAAAAATGACAATACTATAACACGATACTTTATAAAACAATATATAGTTTAGTAAGTGAACATATAGGATTTTTTGAGAATAGTATCAGCACCTATTGAATACCATTTTTATTCAGCTAGAAGTTACAGGAGGCGTGTGTGTGTGTGTGTGTGTGTGTGTGTGTGTGTGTTTACTTAATAACAAAAACTTTCTGAGAAATGCATTCTTAGGCAACTGTGCCGTGCATGACAATCACAGGTGTGCTTACACAAGCTAAGATGGCTACAAGGTCACTTAATGATATAATCTATAGGGCCATCATTGTCTGTGTGGTCTATTGTTGACTGAAATATCATTATGCTTCTCATGATTGTAAATAGGTAGGGGTATATTCAATTTTTTTTTTGCTCTGCCCCAAGTTTATCACACCACAGAGGAAAGAGTAGAATATTTTCCAGCAAAGCTAGAAAGTAAATCAGTTGTGTCGTTGTGAAACTGATCCTTCACTTCTTTATCCATAACATGGATTGAAATGATCTTTCCATATTGGCTGAATGGAAGACTATAGCAAATGTGACACATCTTAGCACAAGTGACTCACCCACAGTCAATTCTCAGTGGTAACCATGAGCATGAAGTGACAAGGAGTTTAGTTATGACCATTAAGGAGGAGGAAGAGGGACAGAAGTTAGAAGAAAGACTAGTGTAAAAAAAAAAAGCCAATTCTTGGTCCCACTTTAATATTAGTCTTTCTAACCCTGGCCTCATCCCCCCACCCATAACAGGGTGCTAGAGTCACTTGCTATAATCCCTTTGGGATTTCTTATTCTGAGATCTCTGGGATCTCTGGGA